CATATCCCCTAAAGAGCCGTCTGTTAAGCCAGGACAGAAAACAGGAATATTGTTCTGAAAAATACACAAATAAATAACAAAAATGAGTGGCAGAAGGAAAATTGGATGCTACTAACATTATGCAGACAAGTCCTTAAAGATTTCAATTGCATAGAGCAAAATTACAAAACCAGATACCTAACCTTCCTAATAAAGGAAAAGATAAACTTCTTAAACATGAAATGAGATACATGTTCTATAACGTTCCAGTTGCTTGGGAACTCATTAATGGGACCTTCTTCAGTAATAAATAAATTCAATCACTTTGTCAAGATGATATTATGATAGTAATTGGCATGACTAGAATCTACATTGTAGTAGAAAGGAAAGAATGTAGGTAGTTCAGTATCGCAATCTCTTCGCAGCAAAAAATCCAATATTTCAAATAGATTAAAAAATATATAACTAACTTTATTAGTAACATATATAACTTCAATGGGGACATAGTTAATGAATGATGATTATACAGAAATACCTACACAAAAGCGAGGGAAAAAGCAGTTACATTCTCATAGCGTTAGGCTGAATTGTTATAACACTTGCCTTGTACGCCCAATAGAGGTATGAACTTCCATTATTTATTTCTCATCCCAAGCGTGCAATTAACTTTGACGGTGTCCACAATACATTCTGTTAAAAGCAAAAACAAGAAGTAAGAAGGAAATCAACAGAAATGGCAGATGCCACTAACCACAAGAGAAACAACTACTGACGGTAACTCAAATATCTGGAAGAGAGTACAAATGAGAGCTGAACTATTCTACCATACAAAATAAATTGAATTGAGAAATCATCTTTTCAGCATTTATGGAAAACTAAAAGGTCCCAAAATCATTGTGCCAATTCAAACTTATCAGACTAACTAGAGGGTATGATCTATGTTTACTTGGACTCAGGTACAAGTTTCATATATATGGACGTGCCTGGCACTATGTTACAATTTTCTCTAAGTATTTATAGGAAATTGGGAAATCTTTGGAGGGTCATAGCCCATACCCATACCTGGAAATGTGTCGGACTTGGATACTCTACAAACATAAGAGAAAACGATGGATCAACAAGGTTATGACATGGCAGAGTCTATGTGTGTGTGAAAGTACCTCTTCAAGTTGTTCCTTCAACATCTGATCAAAAATTGGAATGATCCAATCCTCAAATTTGCAGTAATTGTCCTTAGGAACCAACAAGTTTCCAATGCGGTTCAATCCTCTTGAGCGTAACTGAGCACCAGGTAGCAAAAAATCACCCTTATATGTTGGAGCAAGACACTTTATAAGATCTTCTTCTATGCCACCAGTTGTAGTTACAATTACATCTACCTGAAATCATTTCAAAAGCAACACTACTTAAATCAAGGTGCACACAGAACCAAGAAAACGATGACAGATTTTGGAATGAAGCCAAATAATAAAATCTGTATTCTGAAATACTATGTGATTTGAAACTCACCATGCAATGCTCAGTAAGATATCGAACAGTATCTCGAACACCAGACGAAATAAGATTTTATGTAAAACCCAAAACACCTTGGATCTCACAGATTCTCTGTAGGTAGGATCCTTCTCCTCTTCACTGCTGTCCTCGGTTATAGTCTCATCAGAAAGCCTCCAATCTAGCTTCATTGATTAATAATACTTTTATGAATTAAGCCAACAAGATAACTTCCAAAACATTAACTGTCATGTGGTAACATAAAATTGAACATTCAAATTGTGGTTTCATTTAATATATCAATTGTGAGGATGAAATGTATGCATTGCATAAAAACCAGTTGAGTTTTAATTTGAGTATATACTTATTTAAAAGGCAAACCCATGAATTTCAATTACACTAAATATGCATCCAATATATCTATAATTTTGAGAAATAATCATAAATGATTGAAATCAATACAATAAATAAATGAAACCAACCATGTCGTTGACAATTTCAATAGCTTCTCCAAGATTGGAAGCTTGAAATCCAGTGGAAAGCATGGATTTGAGAAGTGTAGAGTAGTTTACACCCTGGTTGAAATCATAACCCTCAATTCTAGTACAAGTCCCTTCAAGTGAATCCGAGTCTTTGAAAACTGTGGAATGTACAGATTTTATAAGCTTATCATCCATGATTTCCTTTTACCGCCTTTCGTTCTTCGCCAAGAAAACTACCAATAAAAGAAGAAGAAAAGAAAAGGCTACATATGATTAGCTTTATTACTTGAAAATGCAGCCACGAGCGTCCGAAAAAAAACTACAGTGACATATTGCACAACATACCAATGCCTGAATTGCTCCACTGTATCAAGAATACTAATTGCCGGGTTTTCTTCGTCGTCGGTGGTGGTGGTGGTGAGACGGTAACGGCGTCGGCGAGAAGGAGAAAGGGTAAGATTGTTGAGTCGAGAGGGGTGCGACTGAGACTGCGTGCTACAAAAGCTAAGTTTGACAACGAGGACGAGGGTTTGAAACTAAAGGTTTAAATATGTCAAAAGTCCATCTACTATTTTAAGATTTAAAATAGGAGATTTTTTAAACCTAAAATAAAACGTTGAGAGTAAAAATATTTTAAAAAATAAAAAATAAGGGGCGAAGTGATTATTCTATCAATTGTTAGGGGTTTTTTTGGTCCTAAAATGAAAATTTGGGGCCAAAATGCTCCAAAAATTAGATTAGGGGCAAAATGATCATTCTAGTAAACGTTGGGGGTTTAATTTTGGCATTATGCAATGTATTTTTTTTATCTATTATAATTTTAAAATTAATTTTTTATGAGTAAGTACATTTAGTCGTTTGGTCAAACTGTTCATCTTTGTCCCCTCATATTCTCTTAGTTAATGAGTTTTAGATCCACTATGAGCATTCCCTTCCCTTAGAATCTTCTATTACACTTCTCTCTAGGTAGGATGAAGATCGGATTTAAGATTTATCAGAAGAATTTTTTATCTTTTTATCATCAAGGAATTGATATAAGTTGATTATTGATATCAAAGATTTAAAGTATGAAAAGATAAATATATCTATACATACTATTATTAAACTTTTTATTATGTTGGTTTCACTAGTTAATTGGATATCAATTCAATTGAAAAACACTAAAATATTATTTTTTTTATAAATAATAATTAGTTTTATATATTGATTTTTTATGATTTTTTTAATATTTAAATAAAATAATTAAGATCCTTTGTTAAAGATTATAATCATAATTTACATTTTTTTAAAAATAAAATAATCATAACTTTTAAAAAAATAGAGAAATAAAGTATTATTAAAAAAACATAAAAGTGAGGTGCATGCACCAGTGTAGTTAGAAAAGTTCGGTTGTTTTAAGCCACCTGTAATTTCTGCAAATTAAAATTTAAACTGTGAAACACTCTGATAAGCTGCATGTTCCATGTTTGTTACTCCTTACTCTTTGATTTATTATTAAAACAATCTTTAAGCAACAACCAATTGTTTTAGAGAGACGAGACATTAAATTTCTTCAATGATACTATAAATTCGAATTATAATATTTATGAATGGATTAAACAATTGGGTTGAAAGAGTCACCCCTTGATAGATCTTTGCAATTCAAAATAATCGATCAATAGATTGAATACCCGTGATTAATAAAAAAAACTTTAATATTATTTATTTATTTAAAATATAGTATTAATCTTTACTTTGTTTAATTATAAGTCTAGAATTCAAATGATTTGAGAACATTGATTCAATAAAATGTATTAGTTAGGTTTATTTTATTATGATTATTTCAAATTAGATATTTCATAATTTTTTGGAACAATTTTCTTAATTTAATTTGTTTTATTTACATCAGAATTTGAACTATGAATATTGTTTGAGGTACTATCAAAAGTTGTTACTGAAATATAAAATCTTTACACGAGTTTAATACAGTGACATATGTTTTCTTAAGATCTAGTGGTAGATCTAAAAATATTTTTAAGGATAAACACGTATACATTTACAATACAAATCGGGTGGACATAAATAAAATATCAGAGTGAACACAATCAATAAAATAAATAATTTACATAAAAAAACACATATTTAACGACAGAGGCTTACCTATCTTGACTATAATCTATATTCATTATTGACAAAGTCCTTATATTTTTAAATTAAATAATTTGACACTTAATATTTAATCTTAATTTATCCTTAAAGATGTCATAATTAAGATTCAAACCTTAAATGTTAAAGTGTCCACCCATAATCTTAACCAATAAAAAACAAGATGAGAGATGAATGGGCAATACAGGAGTTTAATAGGGTGACATGTTTCCAAAGGTCTAGAGATAGATGTAACTGTGTACATATATATATTAACAATAAAAATAAAATAAACACAAATAAAATTTAAAATGTACGCAATTAGTAAGATAACATAAATAAACTCATATTTTAGAGTGAACACTTTACCTACCTACCCTAAGTAAATCTATACATGTCTTCGGTAAAGTCCTTATATTTTTAAAATTGGATAATTTGATCCTCTCTATATTTTATCTTGAGTATATCTTTAAAAAATATTATAATCAAGATTCGAATAAACGTTAAAGTGCGGACCCATAACCAATAAAAAGTAGGAAGAGAGGTGAAGGGTTGAGATTGAAGAAGGGGGAGATTCTTTGAAACCACAATAAAAATTGCCAGCCTAAGTGAACAACCCCATTGGCAGCATGGCTGCACACACAAGCCAAGTGTTAGGGGTTTAGGCCCATTTCTGTTTCTTCTCAACTAACTCAACACAGTTAAATTTTAACCCAACCAACACTCTCTTCTCCTTCATCTTCCTTTTTATAAACCTCTCCCATTTTTCCTCCTCCTTCCACTCTCTCTCTGTTTTTGGTAAACCACCAAGACTCACCATTTTCACACCACAAACAACATATACATATACATATACATACATGTACATGTATGTGTAATCTAAGTGTGTTGTATGAGTGGAGAAAAGTTTGACATTGTTGAAAAATGAAGAGGTCTCCAAGTTGTTCTTCAACCAATTCTTGCTTGGCATCTTCATCTTCTTCTTCATCTGATACGCCTCGGAGTTTACCGGAAAAACCCAAGGCTAAAAGGGGTAGAAAGAACCGAAGCTGTGATCAGAACAACAATGCCAAAACCAACAATGGCAGAAGAAGCTCCATTTACAGAGGAGTCACCAGGTTTTCTTTTCTTTTTTTAATTTTCTCACGTAATTAATGAAATTAATGTGAAATGCTAATTTGGATTGATTTTCATTGCATGTGTGAGTAAAATTACACAGGCATAGATGGACCGGGAGATTTGAGGCTCACCTATGGGACAAGAGTTCTTGGAACAATGTGCAGAACAAGAAGGGAAGACAAGGTTAATTTTACTCTTTTTTTTAATGGAATTGTTAAATGGAAACACAGAAATTCAAGGAGATCTGTGTGATCTTTTGTTTATATATATATTTTCATTATTGAGAATTATCTTTCAAGTTTATGTATTTTGTGTACTGACTGTTTGTTTTTATTCATTTGGTCAATCTCTCAACGTTATTTGCGCTTTTTGTTGCCGTCTCCATAGTTTATTTAGGTAAGTCCTTCGATCTACTTGCATTTTATTTAATTTAAGTAAATATATTTTTAAATAATCATTTTGTAATATCTGTGGAGAGATCTTTCGATTGTACGATCAGTTGAAACCAGCTACAACTGGATATTGTCGAGTCCCAAAATCTTGTCTTCGTATTCTCAAAGCATGTCTCGGGTGTATCTCAAAAAGGTAGGACATGGTTCGAAGATTGTGTAGGGCGTAGAGCACTTATTTTGACTTAATTTCGAGCATCAAAACACCGTGCAGGCGTGCAATGACCTGATTAAGAGTTTTACGGTATTGATGACTTGAATGTAGAGTTAGGGAAATTTGAAGGACTATTTGGTGAATAGTGTAGAGAGTCGAAATCAAGGGAGCGAACCTTTATCTATCCATTATTCACTAATTGGTCGTTCAAGCTTTGTCAGTTCTACAATCAAGTTTTCGACACCATTAAACCCTTAATTGAGTCATTACACAGACGTCGGTGTTTAGAGATAAGTCATAGTAAGTGTTCTATATCCTACACCATATTCAGATTATAACTTCTCTTTTCGAGACGCTCCCAAGACTTGCTTCCAGAGTAGGGTGACAAAAAAACAGTATCATCTCGCTAATACAATATTTGATTGTTGGAGATTTCCACTAATCATATAATCGAAAGATCTCTCAACAATAACTAGATTATATATATATATATATATATAACTATATTATAATTATACTCAAGTACACTGGAATTCAAAATCATAATTGTTACATGTGAAATGCAGGGGCTTATGATAGTGAGGAGGCAGCAGCTCAAACCTATGATCTCGTTGCCCTCAAGTTTTGGGGGCCTGAAACTACTCTGAATTTCCCGGTACTTAATTAAAACTGTTCATAATTTACTTTTATTATTAATCGCTTAAAATGGGTTAATTAATTAATTAACTAAATAAATGATGGGTTTGTGAGAAAATATTTATTGTTACTTTAACGATGCAGAAAGAAAGATACGAAAAAGAGATGGAGGAAATGAAGAATGTGACAAAGGAAGAGTACTTGGCTTCTCTACGACGTCGTAGCAATGGCTTCTCCAGAGGAGTCTCCCAGTACCGCGGGGTAGCTAGGTACTTATTCTTAATTAATTATATAAATATTATATAAATGTTATAAAAATTGGACCAATTAAATCAAAACTCGAATATAGAATTTATTCGAGTTTTGATTCAATCTTTTTATTTAAAAAATATTATGTTTTACGCGTCCTTTTTATAATTTAATGTAATTTTTATTTATTTAATCGAACTGCAGATTCTAGGTAAATTAAAATATTTAACCACTTTTATTTTTCTTAAATAAAATAGATGTTAAAATATATATACCACGCGAGTTTGGTAAAATAATCAATTTTAGTGGACCCTCTTCTATATTTTTGTTTTCTATAGAAGTAGGGTTTAAGAGTCTGAGGGGCAATTAATTGAAGATTTATATAAAATTAGTTTTAGAATTGTCCAAAAATGTACTAAATTGTTGTTTTTTATTATAATAATTTTGATACAAATATTATTATTTAATTTATTGACCGGTTACAAAGATTTAATATTGTAAATATATATTTATGATGATTATTTTAATTTATTTTTAAATTCTTAATTGTATTAAAGGAATGTAACGTTTTATTTTATTAAATTGATTGATAATTAATAATTGTTATTTTTTTTACAGGCATCACCACAATGGGAGGTGGGAGGCTCGAATTGGTCGAGTTTTTGGGAACAAATATCTCTATTTAGGAACCTATAGTAAGCTCTCTCTATATCCCTTATTTTTACATTTGTAAATATATGGTTTTTAAATACATAAAAAATTAAAAAATAGGTGTACATTATATATTATTAATGCTAACTAAAAATAAAATAAAAACAACGGAGGGGGAGATCTTATCACTTAATATATGGTCCCAATGTTGTTAATATAGTAGGATCCAATGTTTTTCATTAATTAATTTGCAAGACTCCAAGGCCCATTTTAATATATATATATAAAGCAGGGAAACTCCCTTTTTATAATATTAATATTTGTGGTTAATATCTAGGGAAAAATCAAAAAATTTAGATTGCAGTGTTGAAAATTAAAAGATTTTATGAATGGTCTCAATTTTCTTTTAATGTATGTTAATTATTTTTAAAGTGGTTTTAATATTTTTTTTAAAAGTATTATTAATTTTATATTATTTACTAGTTTTTTTGAAAAACATTTATAAAAAAATCTAACAATTTTGGAATGTCAAGTGATTATACTCATGTTAATACCGATTGAGTTTTAATTCGGTTAATATTGTTATTGTTGTTATAATATAAGAAAATTAGAGTTTTGAATTGAAAACTTTTAAGAGGTGAAAATACATTTTTAGTATGTTATCATTAGTTTAAAATTTTAAATTTTAAATAAATAAATTATAAATTATTATTTTGAGTTAAAATATATTTATTATGGTAATAATTTAAAATAAAATTTTAAGGGGACTAAACATCAATTTTACCATACAATTCTCACTCAAATGCTGTCACACGCTGCTATGGATGTCAAATTGCTTTGATTTTTTCTTTACTTTTTTTAAAAAATTTAATTTATAAATGGCATTTATGTAGTTAAGCTGCATATCTCTGTCTAGATTCAAAACTTTTTTATTTTAAATTTGCATGAAAATGGTGGCAGCATGGCACGTGACCATTACTCTCCCATTAAGAGATTCTGTTGCCTTTTAAATATATAGATAATATTTGCTGAGTAAGAGGCAGCAGAGATCTCGTGACTTGGTGAGAAGATTAGGTTTTGCTTTAGGTCACCTAAATGACACTCTAATTCCCCCTTTAGTGAGTAGAATCATTGACAAGGTTTTGTTGTGATTTTTAAAAAAGATTTAAAATTTAAATATTCGATATAATATTTTAAAAATAATTGTATGATTCAATTAAATTCAATCTGAATTAGAAATCAATGTGTTATTTTTCAATACTCTTATCATTGTTTTTTATATTAGTACGATTTACTGATTGTGAAAAGCATACTTATAAATTGTGATTAATAGAGAAATATCGGATTTGAATATGCCTATCATGGAATTTTTTGTCTGTTTGATGAAAGTAGATTGGTTGCACCAAAGCCATGTGATTTTCTTTCCCTTTGTGTTTCAATGAATTTAATAGGGGCATTACTTTTATCCATCTTCTCAACTACTTCAAATCTAGGATTGAAGGAAATACAATAAACCTTAAACTCTAAATTTTATTAGTTTCGTTCTTAGTTTGATCAATTAGGGTTTTAGGGTTCGAATATGGGACCTCGGCCTGTCTCGTTGGATACATTTAGGAATGGATTTAGGATCAGGGAAAGACAAGAAACCCTAAACCCTATTATTGTATTACTTCCATTCTTAGTTTAAATAATTAGGGTTTAAGGTTCGAATGTGGCACCTCGGCCTGTCTCACTAGATATCTCTAAGAATGAAACTATGATCAACCGTTGGGAGGAATCATGATTGAATTTGACTAATATTTAACTGTTAAGATTTAAAATATTACCAGACAAAAAAGTTGGGACGGGGAGTCCCCTCCCAAGGTGTACATGGTTCCGTCACCGGGTACCTCTCACCATGTTTCGAAACATGGAGCAAGACCGGTCCGATCGATGCCTTGTGGTTCCGGTGCCTTCCATCATGCTCTCAAATGGTGGCTTAAAGCCTTAAACAACATTCACTCTTGTATATGATTACCAACATGTTACTCAACAAAAAAAAAATCCAGATTTGTATGAAACATCATATATTCATTCGAATTTGAGATTGAGTGTTAAGTACGAATGTATGAGTGCAGACATTGTTCTCATATTCCGGTCTGGAAAAAACTTAATAGAAAATTGTCAGTGCAGTATCTAATTAAGATTTAATGTGAGCATGTGAATCCCTAATCTTATCTTTTAATTGCCGAATATGAAAAGGTTGATCCACATTATTTAATTTATAATTAAATGGTCTGATTTAATTTGTCTCTCACCATTTATTTATTCTCTGTTTTTATTTATTAAATTATCATTTACTTATGTTTTATTTTTTTTATTTTTTGAAGACACACAGGAGGAGGCAGCTGCAGCTTATGATATGGCAGCATTGGAGTATAGGGGGACCAATGCTGTGACCAATTTCGATGCTAGCCATTACATAGACCGTTTGAAGCAGAAAGGAATTGTGTTTGTTGATCAAACGCAAAAACGAATTCCCGACTCTGATGAAGCTCGACGAACAGAATCCGTAGGAAACAAACAACTTCAGCTGCCGCAGCAGCAGCAAGAACAAGAACCGAGGCACGAAGAAACTGAAAAATCTGAACATTTTCAGTACATGCAAATGCAGCTTCCTCTATGCATCGACTGTACGACGACGACAATGGCCGGTATCGAGTCTACCGATAGCAATGAGCTAGCATGGAGTTTCTGCATGGATTCAGGGTTGACATCGTTTTTGGTCCCAGACATCCCTCTCGATGGGAACGATGAATTGCCGAACTTGTTCGATCATGCTACAGGGTTCGAGGATAACTTCGACTTGATGTTCAACCTAGGGTCCCCTAACAAAGAAGAGGTTAATCGGAAATGTGTATTGGATGATGCAACTGAAGTCGGTGTTTCGATGAACATGGTAGATGAAGATGGGAAAGAGCGGTTGTCATCTCCGTCATCGGATTTAGATTCTCCGTATTCATCGACGACCTGGGTTTCTTGTAACTACTCTGTTTAGTAGTTTGTATTTGGAGTCTGTTGTTGGAAATCAGTTGTGGGTGGATGGTAGATGGATGCCAAGGATTCAACTTATCTTTGGTTTTTTGTTGTTTTTTTTTCTCTTATGCATTACCTTTGTTTAATTAAATTGAAAAAAAAAACTTAAAACTGTTTTTGTTTGATCCTATAATCTCATCAAATATATTTGATCCAATTTGTGGTATAACGACAAGAGAATTATACCATTGCATTGATCTTGGATAATCCCTTCTTTTTTTATAAAAATATTAAATTAGATTTTTAACCTAAATCATAAATTTAATAAATTTTTATTTAACAAGATCAAATTTATTCAAATACATTTATTTATTTTTAATATTTTTACTTTTAATGTGTATTAAATTCATAACCTAGGAAAGAAAAGAGATGTTTGTTGAGAGTTTTTAACTATCTCCTCTAAAAATCATTGACAATTGAACTAATAAAATTACTTACTAATACTGAACATATATGATATGCTCATCAACCATGACAGAACATTGGACGGGTTTAGGGATTATGTCTTCATCCTCAAAACTTGATGAAAAGTAGGGATGGACTGAAAGAGTATTGCGAGGGCAGTTTTATTTTTTTAAATTTTAAATTTTTATAATTTAGATTTTTTTTAAAAAGTTATTAGTCATTTAATTTTATATCCCTCGAAAATTTGTAGTTTCACATCCTTAAAGTTTGTATATAATTTTATAAAAAAATTATGCTTTCATACATCAAATTTTACGCCAATTCTTAATGTCAAAATCTGTGAATGTTTATCGATAAATACAAGCAACTTTATAATATTATACATGACAAGAATACAACACATAAAAAATAATTAAAATGTGAAAAATAATCTTCTATATCATTATATGTTTAAAGAAAATAAAACGGGTAAATTACAATTTTCATCACTTAACTTTAAAAATTTTCAGTTAATTTAAAAAAAATCATTATATTTTTTCCTTTCTCTTTCACTTTTTTCACCTAATTTTTCTTCTTCACTAAAATAAGCCTTGTTCTTTACACAGGAGGTTCACTTGGTCATAATAAGTCGTTGCCCAACGTCGGTTCTAATAAAAGGATGAACGCTCAAGAAAGCACCCCCAAAAAGTTTAAAAACCCAATATGAATATCGATTGTTAACACAACGAACATTAAAAAAACTATAGATACTAATGTTAGAAGTCGAATCTTTTTCCGGTCATTTCCTCATTCATGTCTATAACCTTCTTGAATTTCCTACTATCCACCATCCCTTTCACTATAGACTTACCTAGGGCTATTATTAAACCATTTGTAATGGTCGAGGATGATGTTGATTTTTTTAATCAAGATAAGCTTAAAAAATAAGGTAGTGCATGATTACATTTGAGGGCGGTTTCAATTAGGGTTATGAACCGATGAAGAAGGTAAATATGTGCATTTTGATTGTAGGAGCTGGGCGTTCAAACAACGTTCATAGTGATTATGCTTCAAGATCTCATGGTTTATCAATAGAACGGGAAAAAATGGAATAATTCAAAAGTTGGGTGATTAAATTAAAATTGAGCAAACAAAAAAGAACATAGTCAAAGTTTAGTGATGAAAAGCATAATTTACCCGATAAAAATAATAAAAATACATTTCACTAAAAATAATCCAAATTTCAAAAATTAAATCGGCCCAAAGTTGTAATACTTTCTTCGACACGATGGGCTTGAAGCTTACAACATGTTTAGTTGGACCGGTCCAGATATTTGTCACAGATACATAAAGAACGATCTTTAAAGCAAACAAATAGCAAAAAAGAACGAAGTTCAGGCAGTTCTTAAGCTTAGGGGAAATACCAGTTATCCAGCTTAGAAGAGAACACATGTTTGTCCGATTGTCTGAAAGTAGAAAAAGTTTTGCTGAATAATTGGAGATCTGCTGTGGAAATAGATAAACACTAACAGTGATGACGGAGGTAGCGACGGCGGCGGTGGTGACGACTGTGGTGACGGATAAGGAGTTGAGTCCCGAAGAAGAGAGGGTTTTGATTAGAGACATTGCCCTCACCGCTGAAGCTAACACCAAAGAGGGCGATTCCTTCTTTCTCATCACACAAAAGTTAATATCCTTTTGTCGTTTCCCCTCAATTTCCGTTTTGTGACTTCTTTTCTAAGCTATTTCTACTATTTTCCTAACTCTCTACGTTTTTTTTTTAAATTAGATGGTGGCAGAACTGGATTGATTATGTGAACCTGGATCAGCAGCCTAATAATAACAACAACAATGAAGGAAGCTCTTCTTTGGCTGGGAATTCGGATTCAAATGGTTCAGGTATCTCAAAAAGGCCTTCGGGAATTGATAATTCTGATTTGATATCCGATGGGCCGGCGGAGGATGCGAACTCCGAGGATAGTGTTGAGATTCATGATACTTTATTAGAAGGCCGTGACTATGTTTTGCTCCCTCAACAAGTTTGGAACCAACTTTATTCATGGTTAGTTATATATGATTTACTTGAAATCTTTTTGGGTTCTGTTAAGAATTACTTGCGTGTGAAATCTTATCGGTAAGTTTGTGTAGGTAACCTGTTTCGAGTTAAAAAGTGAAGTAACCCGATATTGAAATCCTTGTTAACAATTAAATGTTCGTTTGCAAAGTATCTGGATAGGTCTGTGGAATTTTTAGACTGAATTGTAGGTGTAGAAGATGATAATCTTTTTGTGAATTGTAAAAAGGACTAAGCTAGACAGATTCACTGAGATCTTGTTAAGTATATGAACTCTTCTTTGGAGTTCTTATGCTCAACTGCTTTACAACATAATGATCCTTTTATTGATTCATATCAGCATCAGGATTAAGCTAAGAAAATTTCTCTATGATGGATGCCCTAACTTTAGCGACTAAGGTGAAGGTTCATTTATGCACTGGTTTTGACCATAGTTTGTTGTTATAGCTACTAATGGCATCCTTGAAAGTTTTTCTCTAACTGTAGCCATAATATTTATTACAAGTTACCTACGTATAAGAAAATTTTGAAGTGTACATCATTTATGGAGTTCCAGTATGTTCTTTCGCGCTAGAGAAATTGTTAGTATTCTTCTATATTGGGAGTTTCAAACCTATGGCCCAACACAATTTTGCACATCACGTGTCCACTTATTTTTGTAATATATCTGTACATTTTATTAACGTGATTCTCTGTGCTGCATACATATTTTTAGAGAAACTAAGCATATGATTGACCTTGATGTCAACTAAGCAGAAACTTTTCCTGAAACCCCTGATTAATTGTATGCTTTAGGTCTGTTTGTTTGTGGGGTTCATAATTAAGATAATGTGTAAAATATATGAAAAGCCTCTCGACTATCATTCTTTCCATTCTTTTGAATATGGACAACTTGATATCACAAAATTGATCTCTCGTTGAAGCTTTTTGATTGTATATACTATTACTGTATATATGTATATTTCACTTATAGAGGGCATAATTGTAGAAATATATCTAAATTTACACTGTACTTGGCAGTCCATCATAAAAGGTCTAATACGGTGTTTTATCCTTTTTGTCTAAGGTGAGAGAGATTCTAAGTTATAAGGTTGTACTGTACATTTTGTGATGTATTGAGGAATCAATTAAGCACTTTTGCATTCAGGTATGGTGGGGGTCCAGCATTGTCTCGAAAAGTAATTAATTCTGGTCTTTCTCAGACAGAGTTTGCGGTTGAGGTTTATCCACTGCGTTTGCAACTTCTTGTGACACCCAAAGGTGATCGCTCAACTATAAGAATAAGTAAGAAGGTAAAATTTGAAACTTAGTTATGAGGCATCTTTTATTTCAGCTGTGCTGCTCTCATTTTACTTATTTAGAATAACTGATTTCTGAAGATTGAATTATTCCGGACAGGAAACCATAGGTGAGCTTCACCGACGAGCATGTGAGATTTTTCATCTCAACTTGGAACAAGTAATTTCAGATGCAAGATTATATCCTTCTCTTTTCTGTTTTCTTCAAATTCCATTTTTCATTTCAAGTCATTTAATGTTTTTGTTTCCTCATATTTTCAGGTTTGTATCTGGGATTACTATGGTCATCGGAAGCATGCTTTGATGAATGACATGGATAAAACTCTTGACGATGCCAACATACAGATGGATCAGGATGTGGGTCCTTTTTGCTGCACCACTTATTTATCATTTTATGACTAATGCGTCTGTTATAAAGAAACCAGTTAGGCATCTGAAATTGGATCCCACATTTGATGCTTCTGCCCATTGTACAATTGTAAAATAGATAAAATTTTGAGAAAAAAAGTTTCATGCATTCATTAATAACTTCGCTAATATTTCTGTCAACTATGCTAAAAGAAAGAAATATTTTCAAAATCAGTGATTATGCTGCATATTATTACCCTTTAATGACACGGTATTATTTCTGAATCTGTGTGACAAGCAGTCTTTTGCCATCTGTTGCCACTTTCTATATTTTTCTTTAGAAACTTCAATCATATTTTTCTTCATGTGAAGTTTAGGCATTTAGATTGCAGTCAATGCAGGTGATGCTAGGAACATAATCTGAATGCTTAAGTTTATCCTTGTCTTTGAGTTTTCTGGCTGATATTCTGTATGGTTGTTTAAGCTGCTCAATGGTTATCAATATGTACTTTCAGATAATTGAGAATCCTTAGTTGCTTCAATTAAGAGGCCAGTGAGGGGAGAAGTTTATTCCATTTATAGGTTATATTCAATCATTTTCTTGTATTATTTGTAGATCCTCCTCTGTCATGGGATCATTGGATGTCTAATTTCCAGGGTACTTGATTGCAAAAGCTGAGTAGAATTAATTTCTCTATCTATTATGAAATAGATGGAAGGGAACTACAATAAGGATGTTTTAGGATGAATATGAATACCATGGTTGTGCATCTTTTGTAGCTACATTGAACTTAGAACCATAGACCACTATCACCCAGATCTTTACTATATGGAGTTTAATATCAAGGGTTTGCTGTATGTGACCCTTGCTGTTGTGCTGTTTGTCTACATCCAAAGGTGGATAGCCTCCTTGATATGTTTTCTTGGTGACCACTATATACTAATTATTATCTACTTCAGATATATCAAGTGTATCCACTTTCCTGTCTTTCGG